TGTGTCTGCATTTCTTCATGCCCTCCTAAATGGAGAACAAACTGTAAAGCTGCAGATACTGGACAGAGGGGTGACTCAGTCCAATGTTGGGAAAGTGTGCTGTGGTACTGTATCAGGGCAGAGAGCAGTCCTGAGCTCTTGTTATCCTGGCCAAGCACATTCATGAAATGGAGCCTATTTTAGCCACTTGCCCACTGCAGGCTCGGAAGCAGAGACCACAACAGCTCACTGGCTTTGGCCTCACTGGAATGATGATCTCTGACTTCCACCCCTTCCAGGCAATGATGCCTTAGTAATTTGGGATCACACAGCTTTCTCCTGTCAACCAGTATCACATCAAAGCAACACAGCTGATGCATGTGCTCAGGCACAGGTCTTCTTTCATTCTCTCACTCCAGAAGTGCTCTGTGAGTCCTCCTGAGTGCTGAATCTTTGGCTCTTCCCACATAACTTTTACTTTTAGTCCCTGAACACAGAGTCTGGCACAGCATCGCTGGGGGCTGGAGCTGGGCATGCTCTTCCCTAAGGTTCCACAGCAGGTGGTCAGTTTTCCTTTGGAGGGAGGGCATTCACAAAGGACCATCTTAAGCCCTGTCCATCATATATATACTGTGACTCTGCCCTTACCTGGGGAAAGGTAAATTATTGGGAGCTCTCTTACAAGTAGTAATTGCTCAGCAGTAGAAAACTGATGGGAATGAGGCAAATTTTAGCTTTAGAGTGTGGGTTTTCTGGCCTCCTAACCTGCTGACATACAAAGTTGCAGATAGCTTTGGTTTTGATTAGACTTTACCACACTATCAAGTGCAGGAACATTTTTACTGCACTGGGTTGTGGCCTGTGGTTAATGTAAGGGAAGAACTTGCCTGCAGGTGAGGGGCCTGCTCTCACTGGCCTGTCTGAAACACCCTGTGCCTGCATCCACTGCTGCATCTACTCCATGGTGGTGCGGGGGTGATGGTTAAGCCAAGCACGGTGTTCTCCAACCACAGGTATGACACAGGTCAGCCACAGGCACACTTCACCCCAATCCATGTCAGCCTCTCCACTGAGGGTTGTGCACCCACACTCTCCAATTCCCCCTGAGCAAAGCACTCCTTCCCCTGACCTTGCTCTGTTACACACCCAGCAGATCTGTGTGTCCAGATCTGTGATCCAAGCAAACAGATCAAGAGGGCTCTGGATCTCACTGCCCATAATGTTCTTCCTACTTTTGGCATTGATGGACATAGCTCAAAACTGTACTGCAAAGCAGGCAACCCCCAAAATGCTGTGACAACGACAGCGAGGCCTCTGCAGACTCAGCACATAAAATGGGTCACTAGCAGGGGCATTTCACTCACACAATTCCATGTGCTCACCTTTTTCCTTGCCCTTGAAGTTATTCGCATGTAAATAAGTAAAACTAAGACAAGGGGTAACAAAGTGACAGTGAGGAACGGTGAGGGGAAAGGGAAGTGTCCCACAGTCCTGCTCTGGAGACTGCATCCTCACAGCTCCTGCCGGCTGGCTCCTCAGAGCTCTGATCCTGGTGCTGCTGCAGAAATAAAGGCCCATTGAGAAGTCTGGCTCCAAATTAGCATTTGAATTCCCTTGTAGCCCGTTGTCAGATGGGCAGGAGGTGGGTGCTAGTCTCGGTTGCTCAGCGCTGATACACAAAGGTGGCTTTAAAAGGTCCTTATTTTTCTGAAAGCAAGAAATGCATTGCTCAGATTGTGGATACTTTGGATACTTTATTTTCTTTTTTTTTTTCTTTCTCTCTCCCATTCTTCTCCGTTTCACCCCTTTCCTGGGTCAGGCTGAGCCACAGATAGACACGTCTGGGTATTGTTAGCCCTGTCTGACCTACTTCTCTCCCTCCCCTCGGCCCCGTGCTATGGATGCTGGTGCTATGGAAACCTGCTTGACATGCCAGTGCCACAAATCCGGGGCCACCAGCTGCATCCTGCTTTCCCGGCCCCACGGGAGTTTCCCTCCCAAAGAAAGTTAGCAGCCTTGCTTCCCTTAGCAGCCTTGCTTCCCGGGGAAATCCAAGGGTGTCCTCCATCCGTCCCACCAAGCCGTGCTGCGGCTGGACTGGGGTGCTCTTCCGTGGGCTTGGGGGTGCTGTTCTTGCCCATGCCAGAGCACAATATTTCACTCTGGTGGCCACTTGTAAAGCCGCCGATGCCCGCACCAGACCGTATCCGGCACGGGCCAGCACATCGCGGATAGGGAAGTACACATGGGTGTCCTTGAAGTTTTCAAGATAATAAACTACAAACTTCTGCACCTTACTCCAAAATCCTTCCAGGAGCCTGGCTGGGATCCAGGCGGCGGTGGCAGCACCAGCGTTCCGGCGGTGCCCGCGGCAGGTGGCAGCTGCTCTGTCCGGGGACACAGCTCTGCACTTCCACCGTCACTCGCGTGGAACCCGCCCCGCGGGGACAGAGGCTTGTTTACAAGTTCAGCCTCTGTACCTCTTGTGATAAAAAAGTTCTCGCTGGTTCTGCGGGTTTCCTTTGCTCTCTGCTGCCCTCCATCTGGCTGCCTGCTTATCCTGGGAGCCTGTGGCATTATCAGAGTGGATTTACTTCCAAATACCGCACGCCAAACGCTTTTTCTCCCCTCTGCTGGCAATGAACTGGCAGCCGTAAGGGGAGGAAGCAGGAAGGAGCTGTGGAGTCCGCAGAGCGCTTTGCGTTTTGTCTATCGTGAGCGTCCCCAGGAGATTCCGCGAGGCTCCGGGACTTCCCTAGCCAACACCTTAAAGCCAGAGCCTGGCCCAGCACGGATCAAACTCGAAGCAGGCAGATTGTGGATGAGTGCAGGGGCCGTGGCTGTGCCGGCTGCCCGGTGAGCGCTGCCCCGGGCACTGCCGGGGTGAAGCCGGCGGGGCCGGGGCACAGGCGGCGGGGCCGGGGCCTCGGTGCTGGCTGCCCTCGGACTCCGCCGGCCCCGCCGCCCCCGGCCCGCCGCCCCCGGCCCCGCCGGCCCCGGCCCCGCCGCCGCCCCCGGCCCGCCGCCCCCGGCCCCGCCGCCCCCGGCCCCGCCGCCCCCGGCCCGCCGCCCCCGGCCCCGCCAGCCGCGGGCCACCGGCGCCCTCTCCCGCCGCCGGGGAGAAGCGGCGGGGGCCGGGGCGGGCACAAATCCCGGGAGGAGCGGGGACAGCAATCCCGGGAGGAACCGGGGAATCCCGACGGGAGCGAGGCCTGGCCCCGTGGAGGGGCAGCGGTGGGACGCTCCCTCTCAGCGCTGGACCAGAGCCCACGGGAGCGCAGCAATGCCGCTGGCGGCCGGGTCACCTTTAGAGTGATGCTCGCGGGGTGGCTTTCACACCCGAGGGACGGTGACCCGGCGTGGCAGGTGCAGCCCCCAGCACACCCTGTGCCAGCCCGGCGGGCCCTCAGCACTTCTGCAGCAGGTTCAGGCAGGCAAACTGGTGCCATACAGCACCAGCACAACATGCTGGGCAGCAGCATCATGAATTGAGTAAATCCCAAAATCACCAACTGTTTGAACCATCGATCGGTGTAAAGTGGTTTTCTTTGACTGATGAAGCAGCAGAGCAATGACAACAGCCCTGCTGGACAGGAGCAGCTTCCCTCCTGCTCAGAGCACCTGAAATGGCCCCTCTGACAGTCGTTTGAAGGGCTGATGATGTGCCCATCAGATTTTCTGTGGCAGAACTGGTGATGGCAGCCACCAAGGCCAGAGCCTGACTGCGCCGTGCCAGGATTTTTAATGGTCTTCTGTGCATCCAAGGGGAGAAGCCGGCTACAATCTCACTGCTGAATCATTAATTTCCCTCCTCTGAGTCATCCTGCGGCCCTGTCACACACAGAGCAGACACAAGTGGAGCTGAGGTGGGCAGTGGCTCCAGGTTGATACAGCGAGTTTGGAAAACTGGTTGTAGGATAAAAGACAGAGATTGTGTCTACAGAACCAATGGGCACCCACTTGGACTAACCCCAGAAAGCAGAGTTTTGATGCGGAGTCAGGACCTGCACCAGCAGCTGGGGCTGGTCCTTCTGCATTAACTCTCTGGGAGGTGACTGGTAAAAAGGTGAGGACCGGGGAACAACTTCATTGGATGGTAGGACCTCTTAATGCAAAGGATAAGTGAAATCTCACTGTGAAATCTGTTCCTCCCTGACCTTGCTAAGGCACAGCCAGGGTTAAACTATGCTCAGACTTTTCTGAAATATGTCACTAAAGATGCCAGGAGAAAAAGTTATTGTTTATCTTGCTGTGACACCTGAGGATTTTGATGAAGATGGGGTCCTTCTACACTGAAAGCTTTGCAGAGACAAGTGTCATACAGTTATTTTTGTTTGGCTTTAAGCCTTACCCTGCAGCATTTGCCAGTTTCAATGCAGCAGCATGACTCCAAGGCAGGAGAGCCTGAAAGGGAAATCGACTGGGGACTTTGCTGGAGAAACCAATTTAAAATGCATGGAAGGAAAAGAAACAATGTGAAAAATTAATAATTTCCTCCAAAAAGTCCCTGCCTGTTGTTCTTACAGTCCAGATATGCCTACTGCTGGGAAAAGGAGGGGACAGCAGTGGGCTTTACAATGTGGTTGGACTGGCATCATGCTCATGCAATTATTTTCACTCTGGATTTGGTGTGAATTTCCCCATGATGACACATGGAGCACTGCTGGCATTTCCTGTGGCACTAACATGAGGGCACCAGTGGGCAAAAGCATCCGTATTGTGCATACTGGACTCATGAAAATTCAGCCCCTCCTGATGCAGGAGGGACCTGAGCCCTGGGAAAAACATTTTTCAGTGCTGAGTGGTTCAGTACCCAATCAGTACCAAATCTTTGGAGATGTTGAGCTCAACATCTCCAAAAATCAGCTTCTCCCTCCTCAGAGCTCTCCTCCCATGGCACACAGGGTTGCAGGCTTTGTTGGATTGCACGTCAGGGAAACAAAGGCAGCCACCTTGCACACACACACACTCAAGTTTCTGTTCTCTGCTAGCTGCAGACTCACAAAGAGACACCCAGCACAGCAAGTTTAGCGACCTTTTATTTAAGCCTGTTGTCACTGGCCTGAGTTTGAAGTAGCACATGCAGCAGTGGTGATGAGTTTGCACACTCAGATTTACAGCAGTGGCTGATGACCAGCATGAGGGCACCAACAGACTTTTGCACAGCTTGTTGGTGGCTACTTCAGTTTATCCCTCACCTCTTTTGTTATGTCTCAGCCCACATCTAGTTCCAAACAAATGCCTTCCTTAGGTGTGGGCTTGGAAAGCTGGCATGAATCTGTGCCTGGGCTGAGGGCAGAGCTGTTGCATAATGGGAAACACTTGGCACTTCCCTTTGGCAACTCACTGGGAAACTCAGACTGAGAAGAGTTTGCTTTTATATGTCCTTGTTTGGGGTTGTTGTTTCCGCATCAGTCATGGTGGAGCCGCCAGATGTGGAGCACTTGGCACACAAAGTGCAGGGAAAAGTACCTCCTAAACTTCTCAGCAGCTCCTGCCAGCGCTGGTAGTGAGGAAGGAGGTGTTAGAAGCTCGGGCGAGGGTGGATTTCTCATTGAGGGCTACTGAGTTGCAGCCAGTCTTTTAATGTGGGCAGGAGGGAGCAGGACTCAGAGATGAGGACAGTGATGAAGCACAGGGGAGTGGGTCATGCTGTGAGACGCTGGAAGATGTTCAGCCCCACATAGTGAGAGAGGAAGAAATGCAGGATGCCCAGGGCTGACACTGCAATGAGAATCCAGAGAACTCCAGCGCTGAAGTATATCGGGGCGAGTCTGGTGGGAGAGAGGCAGCTGCTGACACCGAGCTTCCTGCCTGGGAACAGCCCCTTCCTCCCTGCAGAATTGGGTTGAAACGCAGCCCCTGGCTGTCCCCTGCCCCCCGCATGTAGTCCCATGCCCTGCTTCCACCTCAAGGGAGCAAACACACACATCCAAAAGGGCTTGGGGCAGCTCCAGCCTTGCCCAGCATCTGTGCTGCTGCCCCAGCTCTGTACCCATGTTCAAATTATGGCTCAGAGACAAGGCTGAGTCATGCAGGAGCCCCAGAGCACTCAAGAGTCCTGATCTTTCCCAAAGTACATTATGTTTCCAAAAACAACTTCCCAGGGGTTGTGTGTGTGTGTAAGTGTGTAACTATGTGTGTAACTCTGTGTGTGTGTGTGTAACTGTGAGTTTGTGTGTGCATGTAACTGTGAGTGTGTGTAACCATGAGTGTGTAACTGTGTGTGTAACTGTAACTGTGTGTGTCTGAGTGTGTGTGTGAGAGAACATGTAAGACTCTGCAAGAGTATGTGTATAAGACTGTGCAAGAGTGTGTAGCTGTGTGTAAGAGCATGCAAGAGTGAGTGTGAGTGTGTTTACCTTTCTGAGGATGATGCCTTGTATCCCATAAAGTAGCAGTAGCGGGCGTAGAGATAGAGGAGACCCAAGGCTGCAGCCAGACCTGTGTTTAGGAGAGATCACAGTGACCATCTCCAAAGGCTTTTCAGAGCTACTTGGAACCAAGGAGGTAGCCCAAAGTTAAGGAATAAACACTCTGTGTCATCTGGCTCTACCCTCCCACCAGAGACAGAATTACTGTTTAATTTGTTGTTCAGAAGGTCAAGCAGGACCTGAGGACTGAGGCAGCAGGCAGGGGAACAGATCCAATGACAAAACAGGTAATAGGATATTCTCACCTTGATGAAAGAAGAGTCCGGCCTGCCACAGAAGTGCCAGGAAGATGGGAAAATACTCAGAGGAGTTCACCCTGGCAGGAAAGAGAAAAGTCATAAATTAGGGAAAGGAAGGAAGCACTTCTTCTTTTGCCTCCCCTAGCAGTTTCCAGACACTCAAGGCTTTTGCTTTTTAGAACTAATGTTGTCATAAAAAGGCTCCAGGCTCCAGTTCCTGTCCCAGATTTATTCAGAGAAATTAAACAATATAAAGAACAGGGCCTCCAGGTTACAAGAAATTAAGTAAGGCAGGCCAGACTGCACAGAAATGAACCACTCCCACCACTGCTTCCCAAGTGCTGCAGCTCAAACCCTGCTGTCAATGCCCCAAAGCCCCAAGCTGTAGGGAAGGTCTGTCCCTCAAGTACACAAGGCCAGAGCAGCCTGGCTTTGTGCAGGAACTGGAGGGAGCACATAACTGTTGGGATTGTTTGTATGCCATGCCCTCTCCTCCCAAAGGCACCAAAAGATGATGGATGAAGCTGTCTAGGCTAGTGAAGGAGCAAAGAAGGAGATGGCTGAGGGGATCCAGCTCAAGCTACTCAGTTACTTTATTTCCTAGCAGGCAGCTACAACAAAGCTCCTCCCTCCCCACTGCAGCCCTAGTGCAGAAGTCACAGCAGACATGCTGGGTTATCCTCATCCCAGCACCAGCTGAGCTCTCTCTGGGAACTTGTCCTTCCCAGTGAGTGAGATTCAGAGCAGGGCTGAAGTTACCTGAAGTTTGGTACCACTTGGATAAAACTAGTCTAAGTCTCAGTCATCAAAGGTTATGTCTTTAAGAGCCCTTCACTGTACAGCAGAGATTCCCGTGTAGTTTGTATCAGCAGTTAATGGCAGGTTTAGGACTCAAAAGCCAACCCAATCCTGATGTTGACTCTTCAACCCATTGATTAACCTCAAGGGAGTTAATTGCTTGATTACAGTTCCAGGAAAGGAATAGCAAAGCAGAGGAAAAGCAGCATGGTTACATGAGATCTGACAAACATCAAGTAAGAGGAGTTTCTTACTGTGCTCGAAAGATCCTTTCAAATTCAGGAGGGCCTGAGGTCTTTGGAGGTGAAATGCCAAACAACCTCCTAGCATAGATCACCTGCAGTATGAAGTAGGCTGCAGCAAAAGAGAGAAAAGTAGCAGCAGTCAGTCCTATGGCTGGACAGGGTGGAGTCAGGAGCTGGCCTGAGGCTGGGGAAAAACTTTTGCAATCTCCTCTTAAACCCACAACCCCACACAGCACAGAAAGTTAGAACAAAATCCCAGGTACCTTTTAGATAAGGAAAAGGAATGACCCAGAGCTACAGTAAAGCAAGGAATATACAATCATGTACTACCAGTGTTAATCTGCTTTCTTGTATAATCAGCAGATGGTAAAATTGTTACACAGTTCAGATGTACTTTATTACTGACAATTTCAAGGCTTTGTCATTATTTTCATTTTTGCCTCTTCTAAATTCTGATATCTGTGTAGGGATGGAACTGATGCCACAGATAAGCCAACCAGACACTGAATTAAATTGTCATGCAATGTGGACCCATGGCTGGGAGATGTTCCATGTGACCCACCACAGCCCATACTTCCACCTTTTCACACAGAAGAAATAATTGTATGCTCACATCTACATGCACTTCAGGAGCTGCTGCAAGCCCAAAGAGGGAAATTCTACATGTTTGCAGAGGGGAAGACCTACCAAAAAAATTCTGAATGGAGGGGGTAGGTCAGTTCAGAGAAAGGGCTTCTCATGCACTCATTTGGTTGAATGCTTTCCAGAACACAAACAAGACATCAGTTCATGATCTGAAAAGCAGTGAAGTGCCAGTGCAACAGGAGACATTAAAAATAAAAGCAAAAGAAAATCAGTGGAGTTATAATAGACTGAGTCCAGCCAGTACTTTAATTCACTCATCCAATGGTCCCTACCTTGCTCCAGGACTCCCAGGACTGTCACAGCAGCCAGCCAATGAATCTGATCCAACATACTGACTTTTCCAGAACCTAGAAAATCTTATTTCTTGATCCTCTGGCCAGGTTCAGTCCTTGCTGATGTGGCAGTTTGGGATGGTATCTGGAAGCCCACGTTTGTTCTAACTGAACAAAGCAAAGATTTAGTCTGGTATTGACAACACCCAGGACTGCTGTTAGCATATGCACTGTGGAAATGGAAATTAGTGGAGATAGTTTTCATGGAACACTTCTCTTCCCACCCCACCCTTTTCCAGGAACAGAGTTAAGAGGAAGTAGGAAAAGCCAGTAGAGAGACAAATGTGAGAGATAAGGGAACTGGGAGCTGAATGGATGGACAATAGCCCACTAACAGTCAACAGTCCACTCATCCACTCCCTCCAGGGCTTCTGCTTTAGACCAGGGCACATCCCCTTTGCTGATGTTGCTGGAGAAACCAAAGCTCTGCTTGGGCTGTTGTGTCACACCAGGGCACGGGCAGCATTCCAAGGTACATATCCCTGTGTGCATAATCCTACACAGACTCTGGATAGCATGTGCTGGGCACAGAGAATGACTTATGGCCACAACACTGAGACCCTGCGTGAAAAACACTCTGAGAGGGTAAGAGAGGATGTGATAAAGTATAAAAGGTTTCTAGATCTGTTCTGCACACTGATATTTTATCTGGGGATGGGTTCTGCAGAATGCTGCCTGTGCATTTAAGGCTTCTGATCAATCCTCAGTCCAATGAACTCTTATAAACACCAGAGCGAGTTCTTTGTGGGGGAAAAACCTGCAGAATTCATCAGGACACAGCACAAAGAAAATTACATTTTCACATGTCAGAAGAGACTCATTTATCTAGCTCTCATCTAACAGCACCACAGCTAGCACAGGCAGAAGCTGCTGAGACCACCAGCTTTGTTTCCTTCCTCTCTCTTCATTCAATTAATTCTCCCATCAGACCAGGGAAAAAGGAAAGCAGGTTAAGACAAAATTATCGTTGAACACAACTGTTATAGAAAGTTATATTAAAGCAGTTTACAGAAATGACATTGTACACATGATGCCTTTGATAGGCTTTCTAAGAAGCACTATGCTGGTTCTGGTTTTCTGCCTCTCTAAGCTATAAAGACACCCAAAATGGCTATAACAATGTCCCAGCTTGGTGTTTTTCCAAATATCAAATACACACCCCATTGTTTTTCAAACACCAGCTCTAAGATTAATTCCTTTATTTCAGAATTGAACCTTTTTCAGTGCAGTGACTGTTTAGAAATACGAGGAACATTGTGTCTATTTAGTTGTCAATGAAATTTAGAACTCCCCTGTGTCATCTCAAGAAGGGCAGAGGTCTTGCAGTGCTTAATTATGTTTGATTTCCCTTTACTCCTGTCTGATAACAGCCTGCTAGTGAAATAAAATAAAGAAAACAACTGAGCAGAAAACTGAGTTTACACCTCCATCAGATGACAGTGCACTGTGAGCTGTATCAACAGTGTCAAATGTGTGCATGGAATCTGGGCCAGGAGGAGCTGCACAGAGCATTCCTGCTCTTCAGATCATCACTAAACACAAAACATTTCTTGCATAGTTTTCTGTCATCATCTAGCATGATCTAAATATAATAAAGACCAATAGAAATATTAATGAATAAACAAGCACAGATGTCTCCCTCCTCCTCCTCCCTCCTCCATAGCATCATTTTTCAAGCTGTTTTTAAACTCCTGAAGAGCACAACCTTTTTTTGTCCCCATTTCTCACCATCAGAACTAATTTATTTTCCATTCTCCCTCAGTGCTTACAAGGAACAGGCACAAGTACCCCAGTCCCAGCACCAAATGCCCCCAGGTGCCAGACTTGCCATGGGTGGGCAGCATCTGCACCCATGCATGGCAGCGTATTGCAATATCTCACCCACCGAGGCTGACCCAGACAAGTTCCCTTCTAGGCAAAGACAAGTCCTGCAGTCCCAGGTGCACCTCAGGGTGGATTTGCTGAGCAGGAGCTACTGAAATGCTGCACCCCTCTCCCACTCCCTGGCTCTGCACTCCAGGGTATGCTGTGTGAATGTGGTCAGAGGGCACAGACCGAAGTCCTAACACCTCCCACTGAGTCAGCACTGCAGGCATTTCCCTGTGCCCACGGTTGCTTCTGCCACCTTTTCCTGCAGCCAATAATCCTTTCTGCCCCCTAATTTTCACTGTAGGGATATACTCTGAGCTGGACTGCAATAACAATAGGGATTAAAAATAATCTTGGGAAGAAAAATGATCAACACAATTCCTTGGAGGGGTTTTTAAGCATCATCCATAGGGCTTACACCACCTATTACTTGCCCAGACCAGCAGGGCAAGGAGAAGCCAGCAGTGCTGAGTTCAGCACCATTACATTCAGTAATATCCCCTGGAAATGTATTTCAGGAGCATACAACCACTCAAGAGCTTTCTGTCAGTGGAAGGGAGAACTTTTTGCAGATGAGCAACTCACCCTTTAGCCGTGAAGCATGGAGATGCCTCGTTCTTCCAATCCTATTGCACAAATATGGAAATATTTTCTAATGCAGGTTGCACTTGTGCTTCCTTTCCCTGCAAAACCTTTTTTAGCCATTACGTACCCAAACCCATGACTGTGGGACTGGTTGTGAGAACAGTTACTGTCTTTGTAACAACCACAAAGAAAAAAGGAGGGGAGGGTTCATTCAAAAGAATTTTTTCTCACAGAGAAGAAAGGATTTTTCTAGTCTGGGAGAAAGAAAGAGAGCTCAGCCCTGAGCAACTCAGTCTGTTCAAGTACAACTCCTGCCCTCCTGACCTCTCATTCCCCTACATGTGTTGGGATTTTCCTAGAATTCTTGGATTTTTCATCTGTCTAAGGAAGGACATGCTAAAAATACAGCAAGAAAAAAAGGAATTCATTATTTTACCCCTTAGGAAGGCAAAACTGGCCACGTGTCCCCAGGAAGTGGGGACAGCTGCAAACAATTTCTGCTCTGTGATTCCCAACAGGACTCAGAGCAAGGCATAAACTGGATTAGATCTCTTGAGCACATTGAAATGTGTTCTCGGTTCTGCATTTTGGAAAAAACATATGAACTTTGCATGACAAGAATTACCATGTCTTCCTCTATCCAGAGGGTCCTGCTTTCACAAACTAAAAGAGCAGGTGGTTGGTTGTGTCAGCAACATCCAGACTGGCATTATACAACTCATCTCTTGGAGTACAAACTCAGTGTATATTGGAGATGTGCCCTAGCCTTTCATCCAGACTGATTTCAGACCATTTTCCTGGCATTTATATATCTATGGCAGATCAAAGAGTCACAAAAATGTTCACAAATATTTAGTTATAGCAAAATTTCTAGGGGCCAAACCAATCTCTGGGCTGCTTGAATCCTTCTGCATGGAGCAGGACCACAGCCAAGCACTTCTCATCTGAGTAAAGGTGAAGGGCTTCACTTCAGAGATCAAACAGGGAAAACATAAAAAGTAATTTTCTAGAAAGCAAGATGGAAAGCCGAGTCTTTGAAAAACCACATAAATTAATATATATATATATTAATTTATTTAGGGATAGTTTGGAGAATTTTTTTTAAGTTTTCTTCTAATGGAGTTTAGTGAGCTGTATCCATATGCACATTAAGTCTGACTGGAGAGCACATCAGTATAAAAGCAATGCCAAAACTCTCCCTTTAATTCATCTTCCGAAGGCATGGGTACATGCAAATGAATTATACCCCTTCATTTATGACCAACATCTGTTAAAAGTATTAATTAAATGTCTCTCTTGCCCTGCCTCATCTTGTGTTATTGTCTCACAAGGAAAGCCTTTTCCATGTGTTTTGCCAATTTTCCTACCTCCAACAGAAAGTCAGGAATAGCTAATAAACAAAAAGGAACAATGCCAGAAAGTGGCTGGCTTGAAGAATAAATCTCTGGAGTGATAAGGGCATGTGTCAGGGAGAGGGAGGATTTCCCTTTGCAGAGGGACAAGCAAGCCTTTCAGACATCTTTGGAAGCTCTTATGTTAACATACACTTAGTATTATCCTATAATGATATGGGAGGAAAATTGCAAGTATACAGGGTACATCAAAATACATCAAAGGCTGAAGAGTGGTCATGAAGTGCAGCTTCACTTTTCCTAAATTATAGAGGTGAAGAAATATAGCTGTTTAGCATTTCCATCTTGTTTAGACCAGCACACACAGAAGCTGGCTGGCCCTAGCTGGTTATGAGATAAAGCTGGGCAAGGAATTGAAGAATGGGGACAGCTCTAAGGAGACATTTTCCAGGGGAAAGGCTGGAATTCCTAATAGGTCTCCTGCAAAGAAGAGACCCTTGGCTTGTCAGAAACAGGGAAAGTCAGGAGAATTTACCTGAAGTGGGGAGGTGTTGCTGTGCAGTCTAATCTTCAGAGATGGGGCAATCAGGAAGGCACTAGTCCCTCTGCTTTCTGGTGACTTTTCACACCAAAATTCTGTCCCACATGGGGTTGAGGGAAAGGAGGTGGTCTGGAGGGAGATCTGCCGTAGGTCCTCACTGGAGATGCTCTTCTCTCCTTGCTTAGTGCTGCAGGACTGTACCCAAACCTGAGTCCTGCTGAGCGTCCTGCCCTGTGTCACCCTGTCCATAACAGTGGGGCACAGCCCAGCCAGATAAATACGGAGGGTGAGACCACGGAGTGTCCAGTGACCACAGAGGCCCATGGACAAACTTGTGCAAGGGCAGAAGACACTGAGGGCAGGAAACTGACAAATGTTTCTGTAGAACTCCATTGATGTCAGCAGTGGCGAGAAGTTTTGAAATATATCTCCAGAACGAATCAAATTCTGTGAATGAGAGCAGACCATTGCTTGGAGTGCTCTTTGAACTCATCTACTGTCATGGCCCCAGAAGATGCCCCAGGTGCCTGGGCAGGGAATGGAGCCCAGGTAGCAGGTGGGACACCCCCAGCGAGGGGCACACACACCCTGCTCAGCTGGGAGGCTGCAAGTGCACTGGAACAGAGTGAAGAGGCTGCCTGGGTCACACAGCACTGGGAACAGAGAAACACAAACAGGCTCTGTTTCTTCTCCCATCTCCAAAGGAGAAATTAAACACAGCCAGCCTCCACATCTCCTGCTGGCACAAGGGAGACAGCAGCAGCTACAGATCATAGGAGCAAGATGTGAATGTGGGAGCAGACGGGTGTTTGGTTACTGGCCATCATTTCTTGTGGCCTTTCTGCCACATCCACCTATCTGCTCCATACTGCACAGGACTGGATGCTGCCTAACTTGACACGTCCTGATGGTGGCCACTCCTGTTAGGAGAATTCTCAGTGCCAAATCAGTGCTTGATGCCTCCTGGCTGCCAGTTTCAGTCTGCAGGACAGCATCCATTCCCTGCCTGCCAGCACTGCAGGACTGGAGCAGTGTTTACCCAGAGCCTGGGAAGGCAAAGCAGGCTCAGCACAGCACACAGAAGCCTGGGCTGTGCTATTTGAAAGCCTGAGGGCTGGTATTCACTGTTTTACATCACAATTTAGTGCTTTTGTTCAGCATTTACAGAGATCCAAAACTAATCCAGTCTGTTGGTACAGCACTCATCAGGGACAGGTGTTTAAGTTATTACTAAAGCAAACAGAAAAATCTCCACCTATAATTTCCAGAGGTTCAATATTTACAATAGATTAACACAGTCAGCTACTATCTGCAGAACACTTTTTTTACTCCTGTGAAAATTTGTTAAAATTACTCCCAAAGTCCTCAAATGATCAACACTTTCAGAATTAATCATTTATTGTACCAGTGATCTTTTTCATCCTTAATACAGGGTTTCTTAACCAGACTCATACAGGTAGATTTTTTAATTATGTATATTTTTATTACATATAGATTTTGTTTATATATATACAGATTTTAATATATATTTAAAAATCTATGAAGAGCTCAAAAGCAGACCCTGGCTTGTAATCAGTTAAAATAAATTACTAAACAATTAGAAACAAATTCAATGTCAAATTTAATTTGGGAATTTTTGAGTTTGCCTGATTTACATCTGTATATTCATAAAGGACAAGGGTTTCTGATTCTTTTTGCTGCCTTGTAAAAAGGTATCAGAAAACATCCTCTAACAAAAGTCTGTCTAGAACTGCAGGAAGCTCACAGCTCAGATCACTTTTACCTTGGATGGGGCTTTTCTAGCAGAACTAAAGAAAAGGCCCTTGTCACTGAGTTGATAGACAAATTAAAAATGTACCCATTCCCAGGACAAAGTCTTAGATTAAAACAACCCAAAATAATGAAGAGAATGTTGAGCTTCTACAAAGTAAGTCAGTGACTGATTCCTGTTCCACATATATGAACTTACAAAAAAGAGCGTCTAATGGGAGAGACATTTAGAATCAATGAAAGAAATTAACTGGAAATGTAAAATCAAAATAGTGAGCTTATTTGATATGCACCCGATAGTTATAACCCACTCTTTCTACAAAGTCAAATGAGGGGGCAGCTCAGCTCAGCCTCTTCTTGGGGGACTTAGCCCACTCTGAAAGAACTCAAGCTCTTACCCAGTGTCTTGACAGACTCTTCAGTCCTTGACAGAAAAGTAGAGCACCATATTCTTAACTTTGGAATCTGTGTTTGAGAACACCAACATTCCCTAAGGTGCAGATGATATTTCTATTAATCAGATCTCTCTCTTCATTCTTCCTCATTCTTTTGAGTTTGCATTGAACTTGGTAGCAGCTTGCCTTTATAATTTGATCTATTTCTTTCAGTTAAAATACTTGCCCCATGATTCATTCAAGTCCTGAGTGATAAGATCTAATTCTGAGCTATTTGACTTGAAAATGAAAGCAAAGGTTGTCGTGTTTCATTTGTGTAACCTCAACCATTCCTTTCCCTCTTGCCCCAAGCATTTTCTGTGACTGACTAAACCACCTTCATTTCCCTAGCTGTCCAAGTAGCAAGGGAAACCTCTCATCCCCAAGTTCTGCTTGCTTTAATAGCCAGCCAGTTCTGAAATAAATCCCCACCTCTGCATTCCCTTGGGTTCCTGCACCTCCTAACTGCAGAGAATACTGCACTGCTTGTTGCACTTGCACACAGCCACAGTGCTGCTGCATAACCTCCGACTCACCATTTTCCTAGAACCAGTGTTACAATGGCCATGTTTTGGGGGTTTTAACAATCTCTAGCTTTCCAGTCAGCTGCACTGAAGACTGGGGTGAAGTTAAGATCAGGACAGTAAAGAACAGCAAGAACATCACACCCTAAGGTCTGTGCTGTCACTCTCCTTACTCTGAACTGGAAAAAAACCCTGTGGATCCCAGATTCCCACTTATTGTCTTCTTTGGTTGACATGCACTTGCCAATATCTGCTTTTAAAAAAA